GAACGGCGAGGGACTGCCAGCGGCTGCAAGCCCTGCCAGAGACGGGCTCCAGCGTCCGGGAGCCGGGGACAGCCTTGGGTCAGCGGGCTGAGCTTGGACCCGCGCTCTGCAAAGAGTATTTAGAATGAGAAAGTAAATAAAAAGCGGGCACCCGACGGGAAAGTGCATCTGTGTTTCGTCCCCCGGAAAGTCTGCCTCCAGTGAGGCAGTCTGAAAGAAACTGCCAATAATTTGGTGAACGGAGGTAGATACCAGCTCATCTATGAGGAAACTGGAGGGAGGCAGTGCTTCCCTGGAAAGCTCCAGCCCTCAGGAAATGAAAGGGTACTGTCTCTTCCCACCCTCCCTCCTGCTTAGCTGGGTACCCGGGCCCAGACAGGGATACAGGGCCAGCCGTAGTGATTTATACTCGCAAGTGAGTAATACCATGTGAAATGATGGCCACTTACACTGGATACCTGCATGCTTGTGGTGAATTATGAAGCAGAGGGTCAGAGGCCACCCTTCTTTAATACCAGCAAACTGCAGGTATCCAGTCTAACTGCACCTTTGAAGCATATTATTGCCGAGGAAAAAATGTACTTCTTTCATTTATTGTTACAGCTGGTTTGCTGGTAAAAACACTGTGTTAAACCCTAGTTTTCACTGACAAAAGGCTTTTCCTTTCAGATTTGCTTTAAAGCGTGCAGTAGTAGTGCAGTATTTATGTTGGTGCATGTTTAAAATTACATTTTGGGGGCAATGGTATGTCCTTTCGCTTAGGTTTAGTACTTTTAACTGTATTCACGCAGAGTTATAGTATTGGCATTACATTGTGTTCATTTTTCTGGAGGCACATAAACAGTAACATATTGCAGTCCTTCCATAAGAACCATGCCAAACAGCTCCACTAGGAAATCCTTTAATTTTCTTTTTCTTGCATCTTCCTTTCCTTAATCCTTCTTATCTATAGAATCTGAAGGTATAAAGTAAGAAACTGATCTCCTTCCAAAGTGTTTGGCTGTATCTGGGCCTGCGATACAGTGGAGTATTCCCACCGAATTTACCTTCTACATCTCTAGATTTTATCAAGGCACAGTCTGCTCTGGCTGCAGTCCTTTATTTCCTTCCCATTTTCAGCAAGTCCTCCAATTTTCTCACATTTCTTGCTTCTTCTTGACTTGATTTGGGGCTTGACTGATGCTATTACAGACAGTGGAATTGTCCATTTCAACTGTTCTCAGTGAAGCACTGTACTCACACTCAGCTGCTTTCTGAGGCCAAAACTGGAGGAAGAGCAGAGTATACCTCTCCTCATCACCCTGTGTGGCCATGCTCTGGGAAGTTCACACTTGTATGGCATCCCTTTCATGTGAACTCCCCACACCACTGTGGGTCATAATGGCCACCACCCAGTTTGGAGACTCGGGTGATGCGTCAGTGGGCCACAACACTCTCCCTCTCAACCCCCCATTTCTTTTCCATGTCTTATTAAGCAGATTGGTGCAGTGTGACACATTGTGCTCTGCACTATTTTCGGTATTCAGAGTTCAGCCGAGATGATGATGTTGATCCTGCTGTGAGGCAGGGTAGTGTGCAAGTCTTGGATTTCTTGATTTTTTTTTTCCCCAATCTGATATGAAGGAAATCCTTCCCTTGTCCTCTGAGGCAAAGGAATACACGGCCTACAGTGACGGTCCTTAAATGGAATTACACGAAAGTTAGTCACAGAAGAAGAAAAGATGCACAGTAGCCTTTTTACTCCAGGCATGGTAAAATATATCCGGGGTGGCTTCCATTCCTTATAGCATTTATGAGAATTCTTTAAGGTTTTATTTGTACAATTACATAACAACTGAAGCTAAACGTATAAAGCATGAAACTGAGAAGAATATCAGTACTGCTTAGTATTAAAGACAGATTCCTTCCTCCTCATCAACAAGCCATTAGCCAAAACAGTTTCAAAAGATGTTCCATTTTCCAAATTTTCAGCTTTGGCAGGACAAAGGGAAAGGAACACAGCAGGGGATCAGATACTGTGACTGCCAAGCATTAAGACATTACCACTGTTTTTGGACAGTGGAAAATAAATATCACCATGTGTGACTTTCTGTAAGGATAAATGACAGTGACACAGGGTTTGTTTATACTCCTTGACAATTTCTTAGTTTCTTTTTCTTGGAAATGTAGAAATAAAATGTTTAACCCGCATTCATGCACACATTTTGCCAGAATGAAGTAAGGAAATTATTGTTCTAGTCAGGTACTAAAATTTTTGTGCATGAAAAGTTATGTATATCTGGTGGTATGATGCAGGAACTTGATGCTGAAATTGTCTGACAGGAGTCAAGAAGGTACTTTAGCATGTTTAATGTAAATTTCTCCAGAGATACAGTTTCTCTAAGAAATTCATTGTAACCAGCTAATTGTGAGGAGAGATACACATCTAGAAAATATTAAAGCTGTTCAAACAATTAGAATTCAAGGGCCTACCCTGGGTGCTAACTGACATCATGGTTAGACATAATTCCTCTAAGCTCTCAGTTTTCCTGTAAGATGTTTTCTTTCTAACTTGCATGGGTTGATGCCAGATTTCATTGAATCATAGGACAATTTGTGTTGGAAAAGATCTGTGAAGTCATCAAGTCCAACAGTAGATCACAGAGTTCAGCCATAATCTGTTTGGAGTGTATCACATGCCAAACTGTTTCAGATTGTGGGTTTGTTTTTTTTGTTGTTTGGGTTTTTTCTTCCTTTTTCTTATTTGGGATCCTTTCCTATCTGACCTCCGGTGCCAAACCGCAGTGCTGCCCCTAACATCTTTGAATACGCCAAAACCACAGGGTTTCTTGATGGCTGGTTTTGAAGAGGAAAGGGAAGAGAAGATGCTGTGGTGATACCTCACTTTCCAAACTAGCTGTGGAAATAATAATAATAATAAAATCCCCAACAGCCCTCCCCAACCCCCAGCATACAGTTGATGCCTTTTATTCATCATGTCTCAGAATGGTTGTAGGAATATCTGCTGAGTAATAATCTCCTTTTAGGACTCGCCAGAAATATCTTCCTTGGGGTCCTGCAAATCCCATCCTCCATCCACCTCTGACTGACGTGGCTGAGAGAGCAAAACTCCTCTGCAGTTGCGGTTTAGCCCAAGACAAGTCGCTTTGCGGCAGGGATGATGTAGTTAAGACAAGGCGGGGTTGCACCCCCAGCCCAAGCCAGGCTTTTGCCGACGGAGGCGCGGTCCCCACTAGGTGGCTTTGTCCTGCCGTGCCGGCCGGCTCTCCTCTGCCTCCTGCCTCCTGCCTCCTGCCCGGAGCCGCTAGGGATGGATGCCTTGGGGCGGGTTTCACATCCAGCCCTTCTGCAGGGCCAGAGAAATGCACAGCTCGGGGCTCGGCTCCTCGCTCTCTCCTGAGATCTGCTACCGAGGCTGCGGGTAGGGGACTTGAACTGACGAGCACCGGCTGGAGACATGAGTTTTCTGCAAGACCCAAAGGTTTAATGATCTTGAGCGAAATTAGATTCCACGTGTAACTTTGTAATAATTTCCTGTTGCTGAACGCGGCACTTTTTTATGCTAAAATTCAGAAGAGGATGACACAAAAGGGTGTTTATGTAGCGTGCCTAAAACCGGGGAATACACGTAGAAGCCGTAATTTGAAGATACATCCCTTATAGTCCTTCAGAAGCTTTTGCTGAAGTAAGGGCAGGGTTTTCCTTTGAAGGATCTGTAGGAAAGAGGCCTACTCAATACACTGTACATCCACTTTGGAAAGAAGAACCTCTGAGTCAGGGCCCCTGAGGACTGAAACTGTGGTTGCAGGCAGTCTAGTCTAAGTCTGTGGCAAAGACCAAGAAACTCCTGCTTCTGTAGTGAATGCCGTGCTCTGTTTTCATAAGGAGTGGTATATAAAATTATTAGGGGAAAGATGCAGGACTTGCTACAAGAATACTATACCATAATTATTGGTTTTTCTTTGTATTTCTGGAATAAGTTTATATGGAAACCTTTATTGTGCTACAAAAATGAAATGTAAAGAAGATGGCAACTTATTTCAAGAGATTCATTGTTATGTTAACTCAGCATATCTCCAGAGAAATTAATTTCTTGAACATGAAACATTTTCCTGGAAGATGTACATTTGTGGTGTGTGGAATAGTGTGCAATGGAAATATTTTACCAAATTTTTCTTTGCTCAGGAAAGAAAAGTCATGGTAGGATCTTCCCAAAATAGAGACACATCATTCATTTCTGTTAATTTCCACAGTTAGGGAAATTAACAGTTTTACAACTGATCTTTTTCACAGGAATTGCTCACAAACTCAGATAGGCTGTTTTGGGTTTTTTGCCTAGCTTCAGTTACATGTCACAGCCAAAGAACATGCAGTCTAATTCAATAAATAAAACCTCAGATGTGTGCTAGGAACCAGTAATATTTACTGCATAATTTCAGTTTTAAGCTTAGATTTGTCTTTAGGAAAGTAAATGTGCATGCAGGCTCCAGTTTGTCACTCATGAGGTTCTGGTTTATTTATTTTATTTTCCGAACAGACAGGCATGCACACACACATGTTAATGTAAAAAGCAGAGTGAACGTTCATTTAAAATAAGGATTAAATTAAATCTTGTTCCAATTAAGCCCTTGGGCTGAGCTGTGGTAAGGCAGGGTTGTAAGGCACTATGACTCTGTTTTAAAATGTCTCACTTAAACACGCTGGGATGGTTTAACCGGGCTATTTATATTAGTCAAAAAATTCATCTTTAAAAACATTGTTAAAGTAAATGAATCTTGGCAGGTTTGTGAATACACCAGGCTTGCAAATTGTCTGCAGGGTTTCTGCTCAGCCTTTGGAATTTCTTATTTAGGGCTTTGGTGAGATCTGGGAAACCAGCCTAAGCAAGACACAAAAGGGCACGGTGCGTGTGAGTCCTGCCATGGAATGGCAGCGCAAGCGCAGGGATCTGCGTGATATGGCCAGTGGCAGTGGTGATGTTGGAGGCCAGCAGCACCACACTGATGGTGTTTTTCCCTCTTTGTCCCTCAGGATGTGACATGTGTGCTGATAACCGCAACGGAGAGTGCCCTATGCACGGGCCCCTGCACTCCCTGCGCCGGCTGGTGGGCACCAGCAGCGCGGCCGCGGCAGCCCCTCCGCCAGAGATCCCGGAGTGGCTCCGGGACCTGCCCCGGGAAGTGTGTCTGTGCACCAGCACAGTGCCTGGCCTGGCCTATGGCATTTGTGCCGCACAACGGATCCAGCAGGGCACCTGGATTGGGCCCTTCCAGGGAATCTTGCTCTTGCCAGAGAAGGTTCAAGCAGGTGCCATCAGGAACACTCAACATCTCTGGGAAGTAAGTTATAATCTTTCCTTCCTTGTTAAATTTGATCTTTTTGAAGCAAACATGGAGTGATTGTATGCAGTACTAGCACCAGAATTAGCCATGAAAATAAGCTAACAAATCCAGAATTCAAATAAACCGAGTAAGCAGGTTTGAAAATGTAGCCAGTGCAAGCAAAAGCCTTGCTATGATAAAGGTAGCCAGAAAACCAGTGGACAGCACAGAGCCCCAGCTGGTGTGCAAAAGAAGAGCTGACTGTTGCAGGTGCTGTAATGTGTAGTAGAGAGGCTTGATCAGAGAAGTCTGAAGCTTTTACAACACCCAGTGCTTTCTGTATTTTGACCTGAGTTACAAGAGCTGGTGGAGGTCTCAGGTCACAGCACTAGCTGCATCATGTTAGAGCAGCAGATGTGGGTTGAGATGGAGTGCTGCATCGTTGCTGTGGCCCCCAGACAATCCAAGAAATCTGCTGAAACAAGCCCAGGACCCTATTCTACAGCCTGACCCTTTGCAGAGTGAAGGACATAGTGCTTGTTCAGTTTAGTTCAGCTCTGGTCCTGTACCTACCGTGCATTCCCCCGATGAGGTTTCCAGTACATTTTTACTTTTACTTTGTAAAAGCCACTTTCAGACATCTCAAGGTTGTAGTTTTGTTTTGATTTATTTAAAAAAATATTTGTCACTGTCTTAGAGAGGGTAACAGTGATAACTGTTAGGGAAAACCTATAATCCTTGTGTGTCAGAAAGCGCTTACTCTCTTTCTAGCTTTTTGCCATTCATTTCTTCTTTAATTTGTACTGGAAGGTGTAATTTTTCAGTTCTTCTTAGTCCTCTCTAGCTTCAATCTCTGCTTGCCTCAAAATTGATGCAACAGTCAGTAGAAACACGCCCATAGATCCATGGTATTTGCTTATCTAGACCAAATCCAAATCTTCAGAATATGAGGAATCTATGAAGATGCAGAGTGGTTTTGCTGTCTTCACTATGTGTAGAGTGAAAGTGAATAGATCTTTGAAAGATATTTCTGGGTGCGGAAGAGTAGGAGTTCCTATGCTTTCCTAGGTGTAAACAAATAATAAACTACACATCAGGGTCTTTGTCTCAAAGTACTTATTCAAAAACATCATTGTGTCAAGAAGCAGATTTTCACATTAAAAAGATCAATTTCACATCACACCTGAATGTGATCAGTAGAACTGGATGAATTGCAATGACTGGGAATTTTGCTGCTGCCTCCAGTGGAGTTGGAATTTCTCTTGTACAGGAGATATTGACATTTTGGATTTAAATCTGCTCCCACCAAAGTCCAGTGATTATACTTACAGTACTTTGGGGTATATTATCAAACAAATATTTTTATGGAACACTTTATAATGATGTTGGGGGCTCTAATTATTAAGAAGGCTGTAATTATTAATTATTAATTATTAATTAGTCTAGTTTACAGAATACCTAATAGTAAAATGAGATTGCCAGATCCATGTACTACATAAAAAACCTGAAATTTAGATAAAATAAATGGAGTCAGATAATTTTTCCATAAATATTTACATTATCAATTTATTTTTTAAATGAATATGTTTTATGCAAGTAAAGTTGCAAAACCTGACAATATCTTTTTTAAAAAGCAAGAATTTTTAATCATATTTCAGGTTAACTTAAAAACTGTTCCGGGGCAATGAAGGAAGCTAGGGCTTTTTTAAAAAATCAAAAGCAAAACCCAAAAAGCTATTAAGGAAGAAATAAAGGACAGTAGTATTGTATATACAAGATTCAGGCCGTAAGTTGTTATCAGCTGAGTTTTTTTGTGTGGGATTATTCTTGTGCTCCTAACACACAACACAGACTTCCTGTTGACTAGCAAAATGAATGCATGTATTTTAATTGAATTATATTAAAAATAAGAATTCAGTTTGATTTATTAATAATGTATTGCTAGGCAGCTCTTGGTCTTGAATTATTTCTGTTAATGACAAAAAACTGTTATCAAAGAAACACATACTCTAAGCTCTAGCTAAAATTTTGCTGTTTCTCATTAGTTTTGTCTTTCAATTTGACATACTTTATCTATCAGAAAACCAATGTTTAATAAAGAAAACTTTATTAAAAGATAGTAATTGGAAAGTGTGTGTACAAAACCTGATCTGTGAAAATATATAAAAGCAAATGACGGTATATATCTCCATTGTCTGTATGCACTTAGTCTACATGGAAAAATGATAAAGGAATGTCTCATCATAGTCCCTTTATAAAGTTGTGACTTTAGTCAATTATCTACCACCAGTTTTTCCCAGACAGCTGCAAATGCAAGTCTGTCTACAGATCAGCTGTTCAGCATTAGGTCTTGATGGACCTCATGGAGAGAATTTCACGTTTTTAGTACCAAAAATTGCATTTTAATATTTTACTCTCAACACTGTAAAGTTGATAGATATTTGTTTTAGTTTGCAATTCTTTGCGTACACCAGGCAAACAGAGGGGCTATTGCAAACACTTTTAAGCGTAGTTGCTGTTTTGGTTGCTTTTTTTTTTTTTATACTCTTTGTTGTGGGAAACATTAGAAGCATTGCATTTGATGTATAGTTCAATGCTATGGAAATATGCTTCAGTCTGTCTGCACAAGTGTTCCCACTATGCACTCGATGTTTGCTTTGTATGTGATCCACACAGCATAATGTACAACGACTCGGAGTAAATTACATACCATTCCAATACCTCACAACAGGCCTTGACACCTATGGGTGTTCATGGGAAATTACAGAGTTCTCTCACAATCAGCCAAGATAATTTTTTATAACTTACAGAAAGATCAGTCTTTCAGAAAGCCAAAAATATTAGTCATTTCAGTTGTAGTCCTTTTTTTTCCCCTTTGGCCCACTTCTATAACCAGAGTTTGCTTGTATTTTATAAAAATACAATAAACTTTGATTTGTTTAAAACAAAAACAGGACTGGGTGTATTAAGTAAACACTCCCTTTGGTAATACAGGCATTTATTCCAGCAGCGCTTGATAATGTTTCTGATCCCAGTTTTTTTTTGGTTTTTTTTTGAAGTAGTGAGAATTATCCTTTTGTTATTGCAAAGAAACAGAGACTTTTTTAGCAATTAGGTCTTACTGATGAGAATGAGATAATTTTCTGCTAATGTGTTTTCTAATAAAGAAGTGGAAAGGCACACTCGATTCCAACATACATGAAAACATTATCTCAATTATTAATGTGTCCTTACTCCCTGGAGATAAATTAATCTAGTTGCACATGGTTTTCCCTTTCTGTTTAACATCAAAATTTAATAAGAGTAGACTTACGGAATGTATACGATATGCACTTAAATTCTATTAGGATAGAACACTGAAGTTTAAATGTACATACATTTTAGTAGTCAAAATTTTTCAGGCTCCCAAGTTTAAAATGTGAATTCTGGTAACAGCTAACTTGTAAATTGTCTTTTTCCCCTGCAGATGCAGCTTAGATGAAAAAAACTTTTATTGACAGACATATCAAAGGATATAGTCTTATTAGTTTCCTGTTCTTCATGTGCCTGATAAAGAGTTTGTTATCTCTTTTTTTTTTCTTTCATGAGTGGTCAAATAGTTGTTTTTTTATCTTGCAACAGCCTAAGAAGGTCAAATATAATATTTCACTTCATTTCAACTTTTCTTAATTGAAGCTTAGCATTTTTGGAAGTAATGCTTTATCATATGCAACTTTTTTTTCACAGGGATGAGCAAAATTTTATATATATAATATGTATATATATGTGTTTATCAGGGTATTCATTAGTAAATATAAAATGCTAAACCTGTGCCACTGATTTTGCCCCTAAAAAATTCCCTCTCTCCTCTTGCTTCCTTTACCCCCCCACCCCCTCCCCCCTCCCTGAATTAACTGGCACAAGAAAGTGTACATGTAATCTTAATAAAGTACCATATGGGTACTCTTTGTCCTTCTTGTGTCTCAACTGAAGCAAAAGAAAACATTGCTTTTGCCTTCTGCTGGAGCAAGAGCAGGCATTTTTTTGGGATGCACGCTGGCCAGGGCCCATGCAGCAATACTGGATGGTTTTGAACGAATTAATATGCACAGAGAATCCTTACCCTTCAAATGAAGCACTCATTCCAGTTATGGTGATAGATTCATATTTAGATTCTCAGGGCTGCAGTTTTGGACTAAATTTGCTGTTACAGAAAAGCACTGGGGGATAGAATTATGCACATGCTGCCGTTCTATTAAAGTGAAAATTATGTTTCTCAGCAATCTGTCATCTAGTATTCCAGACTGCTTGTCAGCTCTGTTTCAAATTTGTCATGTTCATAAAATTCAAGTAATTTTGTCTTGAAAAGCCTCCTTAGTTACTTTACTATTGTATCTTAAGTTATTAAGAGTAACAGCTGGAGCCGTTTTGTTATTTTCTTGTTTTGCCATTTCTGAGCATTTTGTGCGATGCATGACCCTTGCATTTATTTTCCACTGAAAAAGCCCAATAATCTTTATTTTTACATGAATTTTAAGTTCCTGTGCTGTGATAACATATCACTAATATTGTGGTCAGCAGCATGCTAAACTGTAAGCTCGGTAAGAAAATTGTGCTAAGCATCTAAAAAGCAGCCTTCTGTCATTGGTATTTCTGGATCACTTGCTAGCACATTTTCCCAGATAACTTCTGTCAGTTACAAACTCCTTTCTTATGGTCCATAAAAAGTTAGTGTGATCCCAAATGTAGAAGGTGCTTTATATTTAATAATTTTTTGCTCTTCGAAAAGCCAAACAAAACCCTGATGTTTGTTTTGGAAGGCCTGTGACCTTCACAAGACTTTATCATGCATTATCTTCATGTATCTCCATGTTTTTGGTATGTTCTCTCTGTCTACACAACATATGTATTGCATGCCTAAGCGCATGTGCTACAAAATAAATCCAATTTGGTGTGGGGACAGGTTCTCTTCCTATTGAACAAAATGAAGTTGGAATAAACTTTGGTGTTTGGAATTGGATATAGCCCCAGAATTTTAA